GATAGAAATTTATGCCTACACAACTTCAGTAGAATAGAGTAAAGCCTTGGGATAAGATGAAAATATGGTATGACCCTGTGATCGTTTTGTTGTTTCTTCCCTATTTACTTTGACTCGTGCAGTTTGAGTGGATTTGGGTCTATGAGAAGACGCGCGTACGAGTCAGGGAAAAGGGCAAAAGAAGCGACAAATTATAAGAACCTAGTCAATTCCTCTCTCATTTTGAACGGTCAGAGCACCACAGGCTAGGAAACAAAAATCGAATTCAGATGGCATAATTCAATAAACACGACATAATTTATTCAGTTCATGGACTTTCCATGTTGTTTCAAAAGTTTGCTTAATGGGTTATGTCTATAACCTTTTAAGTATTCAAACTCTACCCTTCCCCTCATGAAACAAAGTCAGAAATATAATAACGGGAGGAGAAATACCCCTGAACCATGAGCGCGAAGTTCTACGCAACTTCCAGGCTACCTTTTTTTTCAAAAATGAAGACGCGATACATCGATGCCGCCTCCATCTCGTCTGTTGACAAGGCCATTTGCTTCATGCCGCTTCGGCTGCGCTTCGCAGCTTTAATGAGATTCTGCCCATCAGGTGTATGCTGGTGCTCTTCAAAAAATGCAACAAAGCCGCGTTCTAATACTAGGTGTAAGTTGTACCTGCTACACAACTTGCAAAACATATCCCACGGCACCACGTATTCAGGCAAATTCGACACAGCATCCTCCACGGTGGTGAAGTAAGGAACACCATACCGTGTAAAGGATTCAGAATTTTCGTGTTCCCGCAAAAAAGCCACAGATTCTTCTGGAAAAAAAACATGGTAGTGCGTGTTACCGAAGCTCAGGCCTTGCTTACGAAATCGATCCAGCAGCGCCCTGTCGGAGACTGTTGTGCCAATGAAGAGCCCCCCCACCGCCAAGGAGGACGATACCACGGTGACAAAGGCCTCGACGCAGTCCAGCGAGGAGCACCCATAGTGAAGCGAAAACTGGCAGGAAAAGAGGTGATAATCTGGTTTCTTGCTTCGGCGCAACTCGTGAAGAAGCACCTCCTGCAACCCAGCGCTGCGATCAAAGGCATCGTGCACGTCGAAGTAGGCGCGGAAGCCAGTGTCCTCCGGAGCGTTCGACTTAACACTGAGACCCCTCCCGCACGAATAGCGTGCAGCTGCTTCCGCCACACACTCATGTGATGCGTCTGTAAAGAAGACGAAGGCTGGTCCGACCGCTTTCCACTTCAGAAGATCCCCACCGCGTCCACAACACACATCCACAACCGCAAAGTCGCGTCGCGTCTGCGCCTCAGGTAGTGAACCTCGTACCCTTTGTACCGCAACGTCGATGAGGGCCGACTTGATCCAATTATTAAACCTCAACAACACGCTGCGCTCCGGCACGACTGCCACTCTCCGCTCCACCACCTTTCCGGCGTAGTGTATGTTGGTCCGCTGAGTCTCCTCATTTTTGATCGGCGGAAGGCTCGCAGCGGGTCCGTACCAAGTACTGGGAATAGCATGTTTCGCCGCATCACCGCGGCCCTCCGCGAGTAGCCACGAGAGGTGAAGGAGAACCCCGTCGAAGGCGCACGCGTAGTTTCTACCGTGTGGGTGACACTTAACAACGACCCAGTGCCCCAGAGTGCCATCGAAGTAGGCATCCACGGTGAAGTCGGACCACGCATAGCTGCCGCCAGCATTCCCAAGCTGAATGTAAAGAAAATTCGTCAAGCTGATCGTTCCTGAGTCCGTTACATCGCACTCACGGAGCAGTCCTAATCCAGAACACTCACGAACTTCGCATAGGGCGCAAGGGATAGATTTTCGGCAGTCAGGATTGCCCTTGTTCGTGTACCAGCACAATGAGAGCTTGGTCCCGCTTCCCTGTAGAATGGCTCGCAGCGTGAGCTGAGTGGTGAGTCGGAGCTTTTGCGTGCGGTGGGCATGAACCCGCAAATCACCACTTTTCACTGTGGTAGTTGGAGTGGGAACCGAAGGCTGTAACTCCCCTACGCGCTGAAGCGTGACCTCATCTGAGATTCCTAGCAGAGCGCACAGCTCACGTAAGTGGACGTTTTCCACCAAACTCTCAAAAACAGATACGATCGTCACGATGGAGTTGGCCTCCAGTCTGTCGTAACGAATTCTCTCAATAGACCACAAATTCCTTTCAACAACATAGACACACTCCGCAACGACCTTGGTCCCGACGACTATGGAGTAACCATGCGGGTTCAGCAGATTTAGCTGCATTGTTGATCTCCAGTGCCCTTCGACATCTACACGATAGTTAAAGTTCTTTTTCCGAAAGAACAACCACACATCGTACAGCTGGCTATCGCCGGCTACAACTCCCACAGGGGAGATAAGCCAATCAATTGATAACAACGATGGCCATTTCCACTTGATCTGAGTACGGCTGGACCCGCCGGTGATTGGAAATACGTTCGGGGTAAAGATAATACCATCATTTTTAGTTGGACCACAAGGACCATGAAAAATGTAATCCCTTACCCCCCGACACTCCAGTCGGTTTAGGCACTCCTTTAGATGACACACAGGCCACATCTCCTTGACGAACCATTCTAAAGAGTGTGAACATGGTGCAGCTTCGCGCATTTGCTTAACTAAATCTTTTAACTTTTCATACCGTGTTGGCATTGTCGAATCAGTGAGGCGTACCTCAGCCTCATGAGGATTCTTATAACTGTACAAATCAAAGAGCCCCAAGATAGGCCTCCTAGGGTCATCGATGACCTTCATCAACTCTCCATCTACCACACAGCATTCACAATGGAATGGATACTCCTCGAGAAGAAGATAGGCACAGTTCATCGAGCGGTCGAACATATAGGAAAAGTGTCTTCCCTTGATGCACCGCACCACACGACAGACGAGCCCCTCGTCGTTTTCCAGTGTAAATACGTTTCCCGTGTCAACTCCCATTACAAGGGTCTGAGCGCTGAGTCGTACCGGAACTCTCCCACACTTCTCGTTAGCCAACTGCCTTCGAGCCTTCTCCAGTGACATGAGGTCCACCAAAGATGTGGGCAGCGCGAAGCGCAACTTTCCTTTTGCCTCCAGAGATGCCCCTAATTCCTCAGGCAACCATCGTGGGAAACAGGGCACACGCAGCGACACAACCAACACACGTATGCCATCACTCTTTTCGGTCAAAGTGTACTCGAAGCCGTAGCGCAGCACAGTACTGAACGAACGCCGAAAAGGTGAACACATAGGACCTGGGAAGCCTGTGTACTCCCCCTGTACCGCTGAGCACGCAAGGCGCAGAATAGCATTCAGTATAGAAGGTTGAAAGTCGTTCGTAGGGGCGGTGTCTGTGCCGCTCACAGTGTCCATGCATCTGCATAGCTCCTCCTGAACAGCCTCAAGCCGGGCGTCGAGCTCACCAGTAGAGTCCCCCCCTTCCCTATGAACAAGGTTAAACAACGCCTCGGTGATAGGACAACATGTTACGCCGTTCTCATTGCAAAAGTCACTGAGAACTAGCTTCGACTTCATGTAGTCACTGCAGCTATTAGCACTATTCGATGTATGGGGAAAGTGAGGAAACTTCTTTCGATCCCTCTTCAAAAACTTGTCTTGCCATAAACCAATATCAAATACAAAGGGACGAACAATGCTAACATTGCTAACTCAACTGTGCAAACAGTATGTGAACATCAACTGAAAATGCCAAGTATGCAAAAATAATAACAGTTAGTGATGAGGTTTCGAAGAGCCAAAGAAACAACAAAGAAAAAAAATAAAAAATCATACGAAAGAGGCTGCACGCTTATTTGTGGGAAGGTTTCACACAGCGGCGTCACACTGAACACTCGATGCGCTGCTTATCCCCTATAGTTCTGCAGCTAACCAGAAAATCACATGGGTGAACCTCAGGGGATGTCCCCTGAGTTCAAAAAAGGAAATGGTCTTCGACACCAGGATTGGTTGGACTCTCTATATGTCACAGTTTGAGTGCAAACGTGACTCCAAAGGGCCGTGTCGGTCCATATGCCTAGCTCGTGCCGAGGACATTATCGGCTCTTTAGATGGAAGCTACAGGCATGACGGTCTAAGCGCATAGAAACACGTCCACTGGAAATTAACGCACCAATAGATACAGAAGCAATAGAAAGTTCGTACTGCCAGTAGTTGTTGATTGGAGATTTGTACTAAAGACAAGTTATTAATGGTCTCACCATGAGAAAAAGGAATATAGAAAAATCGGCTGTGGTACAGCTAAAGTTGGACAGAGTCGACCTCTATCAAGGTATGGCGAGGTCAGTAAGAATGCATGGCAACAAGGCCTTAATAGGAATGCATTTCATTGGTCAGTAC